CAATTCTGGAGCAAAACCACAAAAAAATATTTATCAGTATGTTACTATTCATATGTCACTAGTCATCATGCCCACTGTTTTCAGAAAACAAGTGACACAAAATAGAAACTACCCTGAATTTACAGAGGAGTGCCCCCATCCTGCATGTAGCTGTCTGTGGAGGTGGCATTTTGTGGCTACTGTAGAGGCCATAGTCCCTTCATGTAACACTCAGTACTTTGAGTAATCGCTCTTTCCCAGTCTAGACTGGATTTAACTTCATTTTCTAGGATCTTTTAACTTTCAGTTCATGTGAATTGGGTTAGTTACTACTGAATTTCATTTAAATGCCTTGCGAGTGAAATCACACTGCAGCACTGCTCGCCCTCCCTCCCATGGAACCAGCTGATTGGTATCGACAAGATTACTCTTCTGCGTTACGTGTTTTTATAGAGCTGCCTAAAATGGTTTCCTCTCCAGCAATTTAGCTTCCTTCCCTTTCACCAGGCTATAACGTATCTTCTGTGATTGCCTCAGCTTTTAACTTATATGATACAGCTGCTACAATGTTCTTTTGATATGGTCTGACTTTTGCTGTATTTCTTATTGCACAGTGAATCCTGTTTCTGTGCAGTTTTGAAGGGTAGTTCCTATTCCTGAATGATCCTTTCCCCAAAATACTGTTGTCTACTCACCCAGTTCTTATTCTTTATACCATGAGATACCCTGGGTATTTTTTAATAGGTGGTTCACATACATCAGTAGACATACAGGTGGTTGGTATATGAAAGAGTATTTCTGAAGTGATGAAAGTCACACAGCTTTTGTGTGATATGAGTATATACCTTAAGCAGTTCTTTGAAGCATCCAGATATTTGGCTTATGTTGAGTTTTTCCATATTTCTGAAGTAATAAAGGCCTAAAGATAGAGCAAAGATCAGGAAATAAAGATTTCTCAATTGACAGACTGAAGCCATTTCAGACAGATTTAGGAATATAAGTCGGTGTGTCTCTGGGCAGGTAGGTCTCTGATGCTTTGAGTGTTCTGTGTTGAGGCTTCTTGTAAAACAATCCCCTCTCCATCCGAGCATTCACTCCAGTACTGTGTTGGTGTGATGCGTGTGTGCTATTCTGTCACTAGGATCCCAATTGCTACCAACGAGTTGCAGGTAATGTCAGTTTTCCATGCTATCTTTTGTGTGGTCCTGACTTTTTTCCCCCACTCATACATATTTGCTTCTGTTGATTTTTTTAAAAGTTTTTTTTAATCTCAATTCATTTTCTCTGTTAGATCTGAAAAGCAGATGTTATTGTAGAAGTGCTGAATGAATTATTAAAAAAAAAGAAAAGAAAAGCCATACGTCTCTGTGGAAACTGTGATTAAAAGAAGTAACTTTGATTTTCTCTGTTTATGTTCTGAACACAGCAGTGGTACCATCACAGTTTTGTATATGCCTATTAAGCAAATGAAAGGAAGGATTCAATGGAGTGATTAGTTTTCAATTTAGGCTTGTAAAACTATTTTCTAATGCTTTTTGCAGCCTAGTTACTGAGGGAGGATA